GCTGACGTGGGGGCCGCGGGCGCGGGGCGGCCGTTACGCGGGGCGGCAGGGAGCGGCCGTCAGAAGGGAGCTCTGTGGTTGCGTTATTTGTTTTTCATGAAGTTTAGTCAACAAAGATGAAAGTACACCCTGGGATGATAGCGTACCTCATAAATTAGTTTCTAATTTTAATGTTATTGCAACCTCTGAAATCAAAGCATATATATTTCAGTTTAATGAAGGTAAGAGATCAGCTGAAACACATTCTATTTCCCCCTAAAAGCTTTCTAAAAAGCATTTTAAAGGGGTAAATCCAGTTGGTTTTGATATTTTTTCAGAGTTTAAATGGTATGTCTTACAGGTGAACCAGGTTCTTGTTGTAACTTGTGGCTTTTAGGGTGGTATTCACCAGTTTCAGGTTTTTGGAGTCGACTGGAGATGGTCAGTTGTAGGTCATTTAGCACAGTGTAATGACACGTAAAATCTCTCGAGGGTGTTGAGAAGAGTATCTTTGCTAAAATATTTGAAATCGATTAGTGGGGTCTAATTTGCTCTCACACATTCCATTTTTTAAGCTCAATCTTGAGTGAGAAGAACATGAGCAAATGGTGGCCAGGAAAAGGCAAGTTATTTCTCTGAACTAGTGTGCTGGTGCCAGGGAAGGCAATGGTATATGGATGGCAGAAAAGGGTAAAGGCTCACGCTTTATTTAGAGGAATGCAAGAAGAATTTTGTCTTGATCTTCTGTCGCGATTAAAACTTCAATACCAACTTTAACTTACTTAATATCAATGCAGGTGCAGTGGTTGTTTATATGTATTTTTGAAAACAATACATGTCTAAAAATATTCGCTAAGCTATATGCTTTAATTACTAGTAGCAACAAGCTTCATACTCTGCTGGGTTTTTTGTTAGTAGTTTTTGAATGCCCTGTATGTTAGAGGAGATGGCAGCAGACAGAAACTCTTACTTAGTTTAGACTCTGAATCATCTTAACAGCTGCTTACCCCACATTTATCAGGCTACTTCATTTTTTTTTCTTCTACTCGCTAAAATACTTTTTTAAAATTATTTTTTAATTGAATTTTTAAATGAAAGTAGAAAATAAGATTATTCCTTTATCTGTGTATACTGTCCTGGTGTGTTGCACAGTTGCATTTCATCTATTAAGGAACATCTGTAATGTTTTAGTTTGCTCCCCTGCTAATGGTGTGGGTTTGTGATGGGCGAAGCGAAGTAGAAAAGGTGCTAAGTTTTATGAAGTTTTTGGCTGAAGAAGGCTGAACAAAAGCCCAGTGAAAGCATGGGAAAGCTGCCAGAAGTTAAAATGTATCTTTTGAGTTACCTAGAGGGTTCTGTGAATTACAGACCGGGTGAATCTATGAGACTTGTAATTCTCTTGGTCGCGTTCATCAGCTATAAAAAAAATAATAGTGAAACCCTTCCTTGAACTTGACATACTGCATGAAGTTTGTGTTTAGTAAAGCTTTCATGGAAACTTTCCCCGTTCTGCTTGTTATTTCTTCAGTCTTTCGTGTTCCTCTTTTCTTCCAATTATGTTATAGTAGCTTTTTGGAATCATGTAAACTGATTTTATTTCCCCCTGGGGAAACTCAGGGGACTGCACACCTATTTTCAGCTTGCACTTATCTCTTGGTGTAAATTCTAAGGCTTTAAAAAAAACTGTATTTGTTACAATCTTTCACATTCTTCACTGGTTGTATCTAACTAAGATAGTAGCATCTGTATATTGTTCAGAATTTTTTATAAGTTTCATCAGAAAATAAATTCCTTCTTATTTTTTCCAGGGTCACTATTTTCCTTTTTTATTAAAAAAAGGAGATGAGGAGATCTAAAATATTTAATTAGGGCTATTTAAATAATCTAGCAGAGTTTTGAACACACATTAACATTACCACAATGAGGAAATACCAAAGGTAGGGACAACTGTGGATTTTTTTGTTTGTTTGCTTGTTTTCTGTATTAGAAAATGGAAACTAGATTGCTTAATTATTATTGGAAATGAATGTTTTTATTAGTTTTCTAGTTAAACTAATGTACACATAAAATTACTTTGTAATTTAAACTTAGCAAATCAGACAGAAGGCCATCAGAGATCATTTTGTAGAATATATCAAATGCTTAATTAAGCAATAAAGTCATGTAAGCCATCTGCTTCTGTTTAGTTAGTCAAGATGCTACAGAGCAATTTCTTGTGATTTAAAATATCTATACATTTTTGGTTACTTTAATGTTCAACTTTCCTAAGAACTTTCTTCTTCTTTCTGTAGTGAAATATGCAATAATTATTAGTGAAGTGCATTTTGACTGTTTTTGACAGTTGTAGAAAAAAGATGAGAAGATAAAGTGAGGTATGACTGTGGGAGCAGAGGTTTCCTGTAGTACGTGCTTCACAGTCTATGCGTTTCCTCACAGGTCTTGAACATCAAAATGTACTTTTCCTCTGACTTGGTCTGCAAATGCTTGTTCTTTTTAAATTTGTGCTTGGTAAAAAGTGTTTCATGTTCCAGGAATTTAGGACTTATTTTGTTTTCAGTTAGCCTCTAGGAGATCATAGAATCGTAGAATGCTTAAGGTTGGAAGGGACCTCTAGAGGTCCTCTAGTTCAACCCCCCTGCACACGCAGGGTCACCTAGAGCACGTGGCACAGGACTGCGTCCAAGCGGGTTTTGAAGATCTCCAGAGAAGGAGACTCCACAACCTCTCTGGGCAGCCTGTTCCAGTGCTCTCTCACCCTCACTGTCAAGAAATTTTTCCTTGATGCTTCAGTTTCTGGCTGTTTCCTCTAGTTCTGTCAGTGGCCACCACTGAAAAGAGGCCAGCACCATCCTCCTCACTGCCTCCCTTGAGGTACTTATAGACACTGATCAGGTCCCCTCTCAGCCTTCTCTTCTCCAGGCTGAACAGGCCCAGCTCCCTCAGCCTCTCCTCATAGGGCAGATGTTCCAGGCCCCTGATCATCCTTGTAGCCCTTCGCTGGACTCTCTCCAGCAGCTCCACATCCCTCTTGTACTTCTTAATGCACCCCAGGATCCCATTGGCCTTCTTGGCTGCAAGGACACCCTGCTGCCTCATGGTCAACTTGTCATCCACCATGACACCCAGGTCTTTCTCCGCAGAGCTGCTCTCCAGAAGGTCGGTCCCCAGCCTGTACTGGTGTCTGGGGTTATTCCTCCCCAGGTGCAGGACCTTGCACTTGGCCTTGTTGAATTGCATGAGGTTTTTCACCGCCCAGTTGTCCAGTCTGTCCAGGTCCCTCTGGATGGCAGTGCAGCCCTCTGGGGTATCGGCTAATCCTCCCAGTTTGGTGTAATCAGCAAACTTGCTGAGGGAGCACTCTGTGCCTTCATCCAGGTCATGGATGAAGATCCTAATACCAATGTTAACTACAGTTTGGTGTGTACAAGCATTGCCATAAGAACTCAAAGTGCTGCCAGTGAGGGTTTTGTGAGATAAATTTCCTTTTAAAAATAAGCCTCAAACTGCAGTATTTTATCGGATTATCAAATATGTTAGCTGAAGAGATGATCAGAGGTGACATCATGTATAGTCCATTATTGTGTATAATGGGTAAAATTTTGGTGAGTTTGATTCCAGATTGACATGCACATTTTGAAAATATAAAACATATCCAATTATGGATTTGGATTTTTTTTTACCCATTCCAAAGATAAAAAGAGACACAAGATAAAAAAAGAAGAGCGGAACTAGCAGTTAGGAAAATGGAGCTGACTTTTTTGGCTAGGGGCCCTAAAAACATGTTCAAGAACAGAAATTAGAAGTGTGAACAGTGAAAATTACTGATGGATATCATATTAAATTAGTTACTAAAATGGTACTTTTCATATTAATGACTTAGGTTGTGACCTTTTAATCTCACTGTCAAATAGTATTCACAAAAATACTTCATCTGATGTCATGATATTGTTCTTGTAAATGCTCTCCAGTGCAGCGGTTTGGTGATGAGGCTGTCTAATGCTCTTCCTGCAGGTTCTTCCCAACGACTGTTCAGTGTGCTCTGCTCGTCCTTGTGCCTGTGTCCTCAACACTGCTGAATTTCTTTGCGTCTAAGCTATAACAGGGAGAGTATAGTGAAAACCACATGCTTTAAAAATATGTATCTATCCTAATGGACAGTAGGAGGGGACTGCATAGCAGCTTGTTTGCACCTTTTGTTGTTGCTGAGGTCTGGAGCACAGAGACGTTCCTTTGGAATTGCTATTTTACCACAGAAGGGCAGGATAGAGGTTTGAGTGCTACTGTTTGCAAAGGCCCTGCTGCCTCTTCCATTTTGCTAGCAGGTGCA